GAGGTTAGGGATTTCAGAGTTTAGGGTTTTTTTTATTCTGAATTTTCTGTTATCTTTAGGGCTAAACGAAGACCCGTATTTTATAGGCGTAGGAATCTAGGTTTAGGGTTTTAGAGCTGCAGCGTCATATGGCGCGCGCAAATCTCAGAGTCGTGCTGGATTTCCGAGCGCAACTCTAAGTAAGACTTGCGCGCGCAATTTTGAGAGTTGCACGCGGTGCGGTATGCCTTATACGAAAACCCGTTTTTAAAACTTTCATAACTCCTGATTGCAAAGTTAGGATTAAGGCAAATAAGATACCATTAGAAAACTCTGAATGTCTACCTTCTAATTCCGTTGGTATTAGGTTAAAATATGTTATGGATCAAAAGATATGGCCGTTTGAGTGCAAGGGTGTCGATTTTAGGGCCCGGTTTAGTATTGTGATGATTTAACTCGAAATTGGCTTATAATATACCGTTGGAAATCTCTTTGAAAGGGCTATCAAGCTGTATAATTCATTATATTCAACATTAATGTTCATATTATTCAACTTTCAACGTATAATTCATCACGTCAATAATTTTGAACTTAATCAATCCTTAATCACTACAATAAAAAGAAACAAATAAAAATTTCAATTATACAAAATTAACCTAATAACTAACTAACTATATATATATATATATATATATATATATATATATATATATATATATTCTAAATAAATAAACAGTCATTTGACGATAAAATATTGAAATATTTATATAATCAAATAATCATATAACCAAATTTATATGCATATTATACATTCAATTGACGATGAAACACTGAAATATTCAAGTACTCAAATAGACTTATCAATTAAAATCACTACAATACTAATTCAAATAATCAATTAATTAAACCTAATATTCACACAATCATAATCAAATAACATTCATCACATACAGATTCAGCAATTGAAAGATTAAAATAATCAAATTCATCCCAAATTCTCCAAAAAATCATTAATTCATTATATCAATTTATATTCATAAAAATAAATTCATATAAATTAACCTGGATTGACGATCTCTTCGGGAATAACTATTAGATCCATTATGATTAAGTAACGAAATCAATGGAAAATAAAAACAGAGAAAACAGAAAAGAGAGAAAATGTTGAGTGAAAGTGAATACATAGAAAAGAGAAGAGAGAAAATGTAGAATAATATTAGAAGAGGTTAAAAAAAAGAGAGGAGAAAGAATTAAAATAAAAGGAAAAAATAACAAAAAAAATAAAATTGAAATCTCATTGGAACATAGCTACAATTGGAACAACATTGAGGAAAAAGATATAGCGTGCATTTTGTTTAATATTGTGTGCGTTCTAGGCCGGACCATCTAGAGTAGATGGATCAAGGTTCATATAAGAATTTGCGCTTCAAGCCTTAAGAAGCACACAAAAGCTTCCACCAACCCAAGAGCTTAGAGAGCGCCACGTGTACGTCACCGAAGTCCCACATTATTTACTACACCAAGGGTATAAATACCCTCATTTCCACCATATCAAGGTATCCACATTTATTGCCTCGAACTAAACTCTTACACAAGCATTTATTACTCTCATTGAAGTAATCTAGTAGTAACTTAGGGCATCGAAGGGGAGATCCTTGGATACCCCCGAGGCCAGATTATGTGCTTTTCTTGTGCAGGAAATCCTTGGTCCAAATCTCGGCCCAAGCTCTATCTTCCACTCGTTACACTAAGGGCCACTCAAGGTCTATACTGTTTTCACCCAAAAAACCATATATTCTTAATTGCACAAAATGAAAGCCAAATATAAAAGTGAAAAACTAGCAAAAACATACAACCATTATATAGTTATACTCTCTATCTCTAAAAGATTGCTTCATGTCCTAAAAATGGATGCCCTTCCATAGTTTTATTGGTAAATTTACTCACTTGTAACTTGACTTGTTCTTTCAACTTCTCTTTTCATCCATACTTGTGCCCCCCCCATATGGAGTACAGTATAAAAAACGTTGTAATTTCTTGCTATGTTTATTTATTTATTTTTATCTTATTATGTGGTAACAACAATTCCTATTAAGAATAAATAAATAAATAAATAAAAATGGAGTAAAGGATTAGGGGTAAAAATGAAAATTAAAAAATAATTGCGAAAGGGGTGTAAAATTAGAAGAGGTATAAAAAACAAAGAGGAGAAAGAATTAAAATAAAAGAAAAAAATAACAAAAAAGTAAAATTGAAATCTCATTGGAAGATAGCTACAACTAGAACAACATTGAGGAAGAAGATAATTATAACTTGTGTTTTGTTTAATATTGTGTGAGTTTTAGGTTGGATCATCTAGAATTTGCGTTTTAGGATGGATTAGGGTTCATATAAGAATTTGCGCTTTAAGCCTTAAGAAGCACACAAAAGCTTCCACTTGCCTAAGAGCTCAGAGAGTGTCATGTGTTACCTGGGCCCACATTATTTACAACACCAAGGGTTTAGATGCCATCATTTCCACCCTAATCAAGGTATCCACATTTAATGCCTCAAGCTAAACTCTTACACAAGCATTTTATTACTCTCTCATTGAAGTAATCTAGTACTAACTTAGGCATGGGATAGGAGATCCTCGGACATCCCCGAGGCCAATTTACGTGCTCTTCTTGTGACCCAAACCCATTCTTCCACTCGTTAGACTAAGGGCCACTTAAGGTCTATATTGTTTTCACAAAAAAAAAAACCATATATTGTTAATTGTACAAATGAAAGCCAAATATAAGAGTGAAAAACTAGTAAAAACATACATCCGTTATATAGTTATACTCTCTATCTCTAAAAGATTGATTCATATCCTAAAAATGGATGCCCTTCCATAGTTTTATTGGTAAATTCCACTTCAACCTCTTTTGTAATACCCGAATATTTTAAGATTTTATCAAATATATTTTATGGATAAAATATGATATTTTAAATTATTTTATGAATTTTTATACTCTATTTTTGTTATCCTATAAAAATTATCTTAAACCCTAATATAGTTATCAAATTGCTTTCATTCACTTTTGCGTAAGATTTCTAAGCCTAATGAGTCTTTATTATGATGTATGATCATCAATTATATTCATGATTTAAACCCATTAATTTCCACCTTCCAATGTGAATTTTGCAAATTACCAAGTTGCTTACGCAAGGAGTTTTGCCCTGCTGGATTTCTTGTGCATACGGTGTTGTAGTTCGATTGAGTAATTTGCTCCGAAAGGTAATCACACGAAATTTATTTTGGAGTTGTTTGTATTATATTACGTATTATTATGTGTGAATTGTTTGATTTATAATTTGTATCTTGTACATATATATGATAAATCATTATGGTATTATATGATTTGGTTGGTTTTGAATAACGTATTATTTTTGTTGTATCGATTGATCGTGTTATTATTATTTCTAGGGTTTTTAATGATGTTGCTATAGGGAGTATTGTTTTATTGAGGTTTTAGGGTTATTAATGCAGAGTATTATTTTTTTGGGTTGTGAGTTAATTATATTTGGGTATTAGTTTTATTGCCCTATAAGAGTTGAGATATATATATGAATTAAATTGTTATGTTATTTTGGGAACCTGTGCCATTGTTGAGATATTATTATTAATCCGTGAATGGTATTTGATCAAGTATGAGATCAAAAGGATTGAGAATTATTATTTTGTTCTTGGTTTGAGGCTCGATGTTAATTACCTTAGTTCTTGGCATGTTGGTAAGGAGATGATAATCATGAGTTAAGAATGAGGTACAATCTTTGTTTATATTTTTCTATGGTACCCTACAGTGGATTTGACCCATATTGGTCATGGTTTAAGGTGTTTTCTGGTTATTGAGAGTATTCAAGTTTTTATACTTGTTGGTTTATTTATTCGAATTACTCATGTCCAAGGCTAAGTATAGAACAAAGAGCATGGCACACTTATGGGATAGATGAGTTTATTGAGTAAAAGATCGTATTATTATTTGAGGCTGAGTTGATAAAGGTTATTTTAAGAGTACAATGTGTAATGTAGTTTTGAACTACATTGTTTAATTGACCTAGTAATGTTGATTATTCTATTATACTATGTATTCTGATATGTGATGATTACTCAGCTTTTTGCTGACGTGTGTGTGTTGTTTTGTTGTGCTACTTGTGTTTGCGGCCATGTCTTTTTCTTATGGTGGCCCTGCGATGATCTATTTTGGAATTTGTTCTTAATGGTGAGCAGTCAAGTTTGTCTAAACAAGTTGATCAAGTGATTGTAGCGAAAGGAGCTCAAGTGTTTCGATTAGTCTGTTATAACAAGTTTGTAAAGTTGTATAAATAGCTCACCTAGTTTATTGGGGTTGTAATTATTGGGATTTTGTAAGCCTTAGCACTTGATAAATTGTTGAGTGTGGCGGTAATACCTTCGATTTAGGTGTATGCTTCCGCAGTTTTTATTCAAAGGTTGTTTATTTTTCTTTTATTTATTATTTATTATTAGCTAGTAAATTGGGGGTGTTACATCTTTTTTCATCCATACTTGTGCCCACCCATGTGGAGTACAGTATAAAAAAATGTTGCAATTGCGTGCTATGTTTATTTATTTATTTTTAATCTTATTAAGTAGTAACAATAACTCCTATTAAGAATAAATAAATAAATGAAAATGGAGTAAAGGAGTAGGGGTAAAAAGAAAATTAAAAAATAATTGAAAGCTTGGGAAAGTAGTACAATTAAACTAGATTATTTCTAGTCTCTCACTGCTAGAATATGAGGAAGTCTCAACATAGATGACTCTAATAGAGCTTGTTGGTATAAAATTGTACTTAGATGATATTGGTTATTATAAACAAAGAGATCTAATGATACCAATAAAAAACGTTTTTGTTTTGTTGGTATTAATGAAAAAGTATCTTAGTATCATGATAATACTATCTAAACACAAGTTAATATCAACAAGGTATTATTAGAGACAGTCATGACTCTAATTATTAGAGGTAGAGAATTCCTCAGTAGAATATTTTTAAACAAGGAATATGTTGAACAAGGTGCCAGTATTCTCCATTTGGACTCTGACACTTCTCCCTAAGTTTGCCGCATGATGAAATACGAAATGTGTTCAAGTTTGGGAGGTTTACTATTTGATGCGGCAGTGATTCCAATCTTGGGCACAGTAGGAAATCAAGTTCTTGTAGGGAGGTGAGACTGTCAATCCATTCTGGTATTTCTTTGATATTTGCAAATCGATGGATTCCCAAGGATTGAAGGGTTGATAGATATCGAATTTCCTCTGGAAAAACCTTTATACTTAGGCGATCAATTACCAGGTGTTGCAGGTTGGGAAAGCAACTACTAAATGGGAGGGTATATGCTTGTTGCTGATGAGACTGCTCACCAATACTTGAACCCCATATATAGAGTTTCTTGAGAGAGGGTATCTGCTGCATGGTAATTGTAATCGCCAACTCCACAATGTCCACACGTAGCTCACCTAATTTGGGGAATGCAGGCTTCCAATTAACGAGATGCTGATGTTGAACCTGGACATGGAGTTGGATATCTTCTTTTGAATCTTGCTCACTACTTGTCATCCCCCACCATCCCTTCAGTTTTGGCATCCCACTGAAATATTAGGCTAGGGAATAAGGGGGCTTGGGACAACTCATTCTCATTATCCGCCACATACTCTACTTCATCTAACCCACTGAGAAATAGATATTCCAGATTAGGGAACCTTCCAAAGGAGCATAGATATTTGCATGATTTACAATTTTTAATAAAAATCATTGTCAAGCAAGGAAAATGATGATTATGTAGATTATCCATCATCCAACCTGGTAACCTCTCCCCTCCATACCCATCTATATTGAGTATCTTTAGATTACAAGGGGGCTGGAGACATTGTAACACCCTCTTATCCTCTTTTGTGCCATTCTTGAATCTTATATCCAGTTCTCGGAGGTTTTCTTTCATCTTCAAGTTTGTTGCACTAATCTCCGATAACGCTATATACTTTGACTCCCTACGCACCTCAATATCCAACTGTCCACTTAGGTTGTTCAGTTGCCTGCCCATAATACTAACCTCTAAATCAAACTAGTTGCCCACTATGAAAGTATCTAATGTTCTTAGATCTGTCAACTTCCCCAATCCCATAGGCATATGCCTCCTCAACTTCTTACTCCCTACCAACTTGAGGTGTCTCAGATTCACCAACTTGCTCATGTCCCTAGGCAACTTCTCAAGGTGATCACAATCATCCAGGTAGAGTGATTGTAAATTCACTAGCCTCGTTATAGAATTTGGGAGTTTCACTATATCAGTATTATGCAAATTTAGTAACCGCAAGCATATTAAATCACCTACGGGTGTTGGCAATTCCTTTATCCCCACCCTATGTAGGTCTAACACCCTTAAACTTTCAAATTTTGATATTAATTTGCCACAAATGGACAAATTCGTTATATTTAGCTTTGTTGTAGACTTCCAAGCTTTGTTTTTTCATATGCGGGCTTAACATATCCCAAAGCAATCCAACGATGGATCATTTCATCCTTTGAAATACAACCTCCCTTTTCGAATAAGGAGAAGTAAGTAACACAAAGCTTTTGTGTTGCATCTAATTGGTCAAAGCTAAATTTGAGCGTACGCATAACGTCACTCCCAAAAGAAGCAAAATTAGCAAGCTGAAATTCATCTCTAAAAGCAAGCCATTCCTGAACCGTACGTTTCCCTGCTAAGAGGCCTCCGATACTTCGTATAACAAGGGGCACTTTTGGACACATTTTAGCGATCTCCAACCCAATTGCTTCCACTCCTGCCTCCTGCCACTGTGTAAAAGCAATCTCCTGAAAGAGAAGACATGAGTCATCTTCTGTTAAATCCCCAAGCATGCAAGAAGCAGTGGAGTCCAATACTCCAGCCACTTTTTGATCACGAGTGGTAATGAGAACCTTACTCCCATTAGCCCCAAACTCTAGCAGCTTTCTCAAGTTTAACCACTTGTCTCTCAAATCATTATTATGATCCCAAATGTTGTCGAGAACAAGCAGAAACTTCTTTCCGCCAATTGCTCGTCTAAAGTGATGATAGAGCTGAGCCACGTTGCTTTGATTGTGAGGCAATTCCCCTTCTCCGCATGCTGCTATCATCAAAATCCTGAGTTGGCGAAACCCAGAACTGAACATCAAAACTGCGCTTCATCCTGTCATCATTATACACATACCAAGCCAACGTTGTTTTTCCCATTCCGCCGATCCAAACAATGGAGGAAACAGAGAGGGTTGTTCCTGAAGCAAGAGAATCCTCAGACAGCATGCTTACAATCTCATCCCTGTCTTTGTCCCTCCCAATAACTAAATTGGTAAGGATGTTAGACGATGATGATTCCGCACTTTGAATGCTCCTTGCCTGCGTTGGCTTGCTGCAAATGCTACTAATCATAGCATGGTTTCTTGCAATGGCGCTCAGTTTCTTCTTAATATCATCAACTTTCCGAGCGTCTTTAAACCGTGCAACAGCTTGATTTGATGCAGAGAAGAAGCACCGAAACTCTTTTTTGAAGTTACCTCCGCTCATAACTTGTTTCTGTAATTCTCTAGAAGCTCTTACATCCGACAAGTCAAGCAACCTATCAAGCAGACAACTCAGCTTCTCCAGCGTGTCTTGTTGAGTGCGGCTGCATTGGTCTGACATGGAATCTCCATCAAGGAGAGCTGCTTCAATCAGAGTCCTTGTATCTTGAAGCTCGGACTGGAGGTCCATTACAGAACTGATTACTCCATAACCTTTGGTAACCAATTTCTTCACAGCTAGATCAGCTAGTGCAGCCTCTATAGGATCTGCCATATTTTTATTTTTTTTTTTGGGTGAGGATTGGATTATTGGAGAAGGTTAAAGGAAACAAAAGTAAATGAATTAAGAAGTTGATTTGTGGTTTATGAATCAAAGCTTGAGGACTGGTTGAAGGATTATAGCAAAAGTTAAGCTGTGAGACTGTTTGGTTCATGTAAAGCTAAGGGAAAGGAAATAAGAAAGGGCAGTGTTTTGAAGTTGATTAGTGGTATGTGAATGGAAGTATGAAGGATTATATAAAGTAGTATGTGTTAGATGCTTCGTCCAAATATACCATGTACCAATCGCAATTGAAATCTGCTACTGTATATTTTCACATCTTTATGAAATAGCTAAGAAACCCTCTACAACTTTTGGCAGATATTTCCACAAGCTATGTTAGAGCGTAGAGTCTATAATTTGCAACCCCACACACCGTGCCTTTGCCGGTTTGCCCCCCACTCCCTCAAATCACTGATTTAATATTTCTTCACTAGGATTTTCAAACTTAGGAAGCTATCTAATCATATCCTAGATTAGTGGCTTAAATCTTGTAACAATATCCTAGATTAGTGCCATAATACTTGTAATAGTATTCTGTATATTGAATGGAAAGCACACACAAAGCTTCTTTCAAAAAACATTAATGAAAAAGTGATAAAAGCATTACTGAAAAAGTGAATAAAGCACTGCATCTGATTGATACACAATTGTACCGAATAACAACTTTTGAGATATTTCCCACATTCCCCTCATGGGCTCATCTGAAAATGTAACGGTTTTTATCAAGTATATAGCCATATAGGCAATGCTAGTGTACTTGTGTACTACATAACTAAATCGCTTAGATGTTAATTGTAGGCATATATTTGTATATTCGTACTATGTATACATTGGACATTACTATTACGTACCGTTAAAATTTTAAAGATAGAAAACTAGAGAGTGATCTTTTTTGTACAATGACATTGTTATTTTGAAATCAGCTGAAAATTCAAATGGAATTGAATGAATGTCTAGTATTGAAAAGCGAAGAAGACATATTGGGATTGCTGAATCACAATTCTTATTGAAAGGCTAAGAAACCCTCTTTAACTATTGGGAAATATTATATGAGATATTTCATTATACTAAGTTATATTTCCACGTTTTATGAAGTAGTATTTTTTTATTTTAGGCAAAAGGGGAACGAGCTTTTATTACAATAGGAAGAAATAAATCTCCCAAAAAACAACCAAGTTCATACAGTTCAGAGTTCAGACTATGAAGCCAACTGTTTCCAAAAAGAGAAATACTATATTACTATGTTATAGTTATTGGCTTATTGCCAGTTAGCTATACTATTATGTGCTTGGGCATGTAAAGCCTACGTCATGTTTTGTTTTCATCGGTTTGATAGACCTTTAAGTGAAAAATTATTATATTTTCAAGAACAAACACACTAGTTTTTCTTTGTTCGGTTTTTTCAAGAGAAGCCGTGGAGAAAAGAAAATGTCAGTAGAAGACTAAGGGTGGAAAAGGAAATAGAAGAACCGGGAAAATGGGCATCCCTTACGAAAATGTTTTATCATGTGAGACTGTTTCTCATTTCATTACAAACCAAATATGGGAAGATGATTGAAAAACTATTTTATCGATAAATAATTCTAACACAAAAAACCTCGAAGTTTTGTACTCCGTAGTCCGTACACACACAAGACATGTTAGAATATAAAAAAAATTATCACAGCAAAACATGTCAAAACATACATACTACCTATTGTCAAGTTTTTATGTATGTATTACTTTTAATGACAATAGTACATACTTCTTAAGTTCTTAGGCTAATTTAAAGTTCATAATAAATAGGTATGGCTTATGATGAGATGAGGGTGTGGTTGGAAGAAATCCCCCCTGCTATAACTGATGTTGTATTGCTTGATTTGTCAAGCTTAAATTAATAATATGTCTAATACTTTTCGTAAAAAAAAAAAAAAAAAAAAAAAAAAAAAAAAAAAAAAAAAAAAAAAAAAAAATCGATTCAGACAAAAGTCTACCATAAGCCAGTTCAGATTCACAACTAATCTACTCAAGTTTTATTTTTTTAATTTAATTTTATATATCAATGTAACTCATTTAAAAATTTTAAATGAGCAAAATTGATCAAATGACTAAAGAAAAAGTAAAAACTACCCTTAGGTGCACCTAAATGTAAGGTAAATGTTCCTAAATTCTTAAACAAATTCAACTTGTTTTTAATCCCTAGTACTATTACATTATAGAATTCACAAATCGCAGTAATACAAGGAAAATTTATCAAAAATAAGTCAATCTTCGCGTGATTAGCTCAAAATAAGTCAAGCTATCGTTAACTCAAAATAAGTCGTTTTTAAGGGAATTTTTTTTTTACCTACTAACCTATTAAACAAGTCATTTTTAAATTAAAATAATTTATTAATTTTTATACAATTAAATAACTATAATAATAATTATATTATTATAAATAATTATATTGATTAAAAAATTAAAAAAAAAATCCCAACCACTGCCAGCCGCCCTCCCCCGCAAACAGTCGGCGACTACCACCCACCTTGGCGCCAGTGACCCTACCCTTTTCCCTTTCCCCACCCTACCCCTCCCCTTTCCCAATTCTCGATTCCCCCACCCCACCCCACCCCACCCCGACACAACCCTCTCCCCTTTTCCTCCTATTGGAAACGGTCCCCCTCCCCTGTCCCCCACCGTAAATCCCCCCTTCCCGCAGATACGCCGCCACCAAACCCTTAAACCCACCCCCCAAAACCCTAAACCCGTTTAGGATGGTGTTAATGGTAGGTTTAAGGGTTTGGGGGCGGCATAGCTGGGTGGAAAAGGGGAAGGGGGGTCGACTCACGGTGGGGAACAAGGGGGGGGCGTTTCTAGTAGGGGGAAAGGGGGAGGGTGGGGGAATCAGGAATGGGGAAAAGGAGGGGTGGGGTGGGGTGGGGTGGGGGAAAGGGAGAGGGTGTGGTCACAATGTTGCCAATTTAAGTACGAATTGGCTTCAAAGTGTTAGGGACAAGAATGAAGAAGGATCTACTATTATTAGATCCATTTTAAATAATTTGTAATGATTCAAAGTAAACTGTGGGTAAAAAATATCTAATCCATTTTAAATAATTTGTAATGATTCAGAGTAAACTGTGGGTAAAAAATATCTTATTATTATAAATAATTTTTTTTTTAAACAGTCACTATAAATAATTTGAAGAGAAGATAGTATTTTGTTTTTGTTTAATGGGAGAGGTTGTAGTTATGTGGAAATTTTGTTAGAAAAAACCTATTATAACCATCGTTTTACGAGAAAAGACTTTTGAAATTTTTTTGGAACCAAAAACTTCCTACTTTAATTTTTTTTTTTTAAAAGAAGAAACCTTACCCATTTCTGATATTTACTAGCGGATCTTAGTGATGAGCTGATGACCTTATGTTTTTTCTTTAGCAACAGTTGATACCTAACCTATCCTTTCCATGTTCAATGCAAACAACTGTTAATCAACGTCGCAAAAGTAAGTGGAGGTCTTTTCTTAAAAAAAATTGGTTTGAGGTTTTTTTATGGGTAACTACAAGTTAATCTCGGTGATAAACATGTGAAGTTTATCACAGGGTATTGTGGTCATTTCGCAGTTAAAATGAGGGGTATTTTTGCCATTTGAAAGAGGAGATCCTCCAAGCAGCTTTAATGGGAGAATGCAAATCTGATGAAATCGAAGAAGCTGACGAGCTCCATCAATGGTGAATACCAATAGAAGGGGGAAATCAAATAAGCAAACGAAAACAGTTTCCCCTTAGGTGTCATTCCCTTAATTTCTACATTTTTACATAGGGTTTTCGTTGGATTTGACGGCGAAGTCGCCGAAAATGGTTTTGAGGTTTCGTATTCACCATTGAAGCATCTTGAAGAAGAAATCGAAGAAGATTAAGGTGTTTGGGGATCAGAGAAGGAGGAAGAAGATGAAGGTGCTAGCAGGGTCGGGAATGTGAAGGAAGGAGGAAAGGAAACCATGGATTTTATTTTATTTTATTAATCATGGAGATGGGTCACGGTGGAGTGAGGAGGAAGATGATGGTGATTTTTTATTTTATTTTATTTTATTCAAAATGTAAAAATATTTACAATTTTACCACCGAGATAAAGATATCCGTTTATCACGGAGATCAACCTGGGCTCCCTCGTTTTTTATTGTCAAAAAACTATAAAAGCTTTTTTCTCCTAAAATTATGCTTTTAAAAGATTTTTATTGACAAATTTGCCTTTTTTAAAAAAAAAAAATGTTCGGCTATTTCACCAAATGCCACTTAGTAATTGCGAAATTCACCAAATGCCATCCAACTTTTCAAAATTCATCAAATGCCACCGAGTTTTAAGAAAATTCACCAAATGCCATTAATGACTAACGGTTGTTAGTTGACCTACCCCCTTGCCACGTGTCACCTTTTGATTGATCCGTTTTGTAAAAAAAAATTAAAAACCAAAAATATTTTTTTTATTTATTTTTTTTTTAATATACTGTTTTTGTTTTTTTTAAAAAAATATTTAATAAAACATGCTGCCACGTTAGCTAGAGGAAGGTCCAGCCAACGCAGCAGCAGGCAGCAACCAAGAACAATCGCAGCAGCAGGTGGCTGAATTTCCAAACAACGCAGCAGCCAACGATCGCAGGAAAAATGCGAGCCAACGCAGCCAGCCGAAACGTCAGTGGGTTCCAACGCAGCAGCCAGGAACAACTTCCAGCCACCAAACGCAACCACGCCACGGTGCCGCGACGAACAAGAACGATGCGACCCAAAATTCGAACAATTTCGAATAAAATCACGATTTTCTTGCGGTTTGATGTTCGATTTTAATCCCAAAACAAGATTTTGGTATCAATTATCAATCTTATTGAATTAATTTGATGATTTTTATTCAAAATCAAATTGGGGAAAAAGTTAGGGTTTTTTTAATTTTGAATCAAACTCTTTGATTATAAAACGAAAATAACAATTATTTACAT